CAAGACGAGATCGTTGCCTTGGGAAAAGATCTTGGCCGTGCCGTAGAAACCGGGGGACACGGCGGCATGGTACGTCCCGTTCAAGAGGATTTTGGTGCGATTGGAAATGTCAAGACCCGGCGTTTCCCATGACTTGCCTTCAAAGTAGTGGGGGTCGCAGGGGGCGGGGGGGCTCGCGTCCAGAGCCGTCACGATCGCGTTATGGCGCTTGTTGAGCGTTGCAATCGGGACGTCCAAGAACACGCCGACAATGTACGATCGAATCAAGTCGAGGTACACTTGGGCGCTGGTCTTGCCACCCACAGGTATGGCGTTCGCCACGACGACAACTCCCAAGTCGTGGTCGGGAACAAAGCCATTGCGAGTCTGATGAGCCAGCGTATCTCCTGCCTTGTCAAAGTAGTGGTGTCCAAATGCTACATCGCCAACCACGTCGAAACCATAGCCCGCAGTGAGAGAATTTCCGTCGCGTGAATACGTCAAACCCACGTGCGCCAGGCCGTCCTGCGTCGATGGACTGGCAATGGTGTGGCCCGTGATGAGCTCCGACACGGCCGCGTCCGATGAGAAGATGCCCTTGCCCTTGTTCAAGAGGAAGCGCGTAAACTTGGACAGGTCCGACACCGACGACAGGATCGAGCCGGCTGCAAAGTAGTCGTTCCGCGGTCGCAGCGCCACCATGCTGGCGTTGTGCAGGTCAAACGGCCCCAGCACTTTGTCGCCGCACACGAAATGACCGGATGACAGGAGAGCGGAACTGTCGGCCGGACGGCCCACCGTGTCGTTCATGCCCAATGGGCTCCAGAACGTCGCGCGGAGGTAGTCGGGCCACGATTTGGCCGTGACGGCTTCGATGACTTGGCCGAGAATGGCATAGTTCAAGTTGGAATAGGCGTGGCCAGCACGGAAGGAACGAGCGGTCTGGAGCTCCCCGAGGGCGGCAACCAGGCCCTTTTCGCTCCCGTGGACGTCGAAGAAGGCAGCCAGGTCGCCCTCGTGAAACCCCAAGACAGAGTTCATGCCTGCAAGGTCCCCGAGCGTCGTGTGCTCTTCAGCGTACTTGTCGGCCAGGCGGAACGACGGGAGGTGGGCTTTGACAGGGTCTTGCCACGTCAGCTTCTTCTCATCCACCTAGACAGAGGTCAACGTGCGCATCTTGCTGACGGCGGTGCACACTACCAGTTTGGCGATCGCGACAGCGATGAACGTCTTGGAGTACGATCCAATTTGAAACACCGACTTGTCCGTCACGGGTGCGTTGGCCTGGCCATGCTATCGAGTGCAGTGGTGAGTGAGGGGCGAGGAGAAGGGACGTGCACACCTCGTTCGTGCCAACGCCCTGCGAGAGGACCGTTTTGTTCTTGTACACGACGGACACTGCCAGTCCTGGCACCGCATACGCCTTCAACTGTTTGCGCACGAACGCCAGCGCGAGCTCCGTCTTGTCTGCAAGACTGGTCGCAGGGGACGAAGCGGCTTCCGCAGTGAGATCGGCTGGCCACGCGTCGCCAACCAGCGGCTGTGCTGTGGTCACTGCGATGGAAGGGCTTGGCGGGTTGGCGACGATGGGGCGGAGGACGCACCCAATCGCAAGAACGAGGGCAAGTCGCGAGGCCATGCCAGGACAAGTTGAAAAATGATGGAAGGCTTTCACGACATCCTGCTGAGCCGGTGGACGGCTGGACAGGCATCCATGTTCTCGAGGGTTCCGACACCGTATGACATCCAAGCCATGGAGAGTAGTCGCGCAATTTGTGCATACGGACCCTACCGAATGAGGCCGACACGATGCCGGGAAGGGATGGAACTTGCTTGGTCGTGGAAAGAATGCAAGCCAAACCACATCGCCCATGCATCCCGAGTGCACACGAGGTCAGGTTGCTTCAGTGGCCGAACGGACGGCCAAGATCGTCCGCATGACCACGAGTGTTGGTGTCGTCGGACGGTACAACGAGTGTATGTGTACCAGTGGATATATCCAATAAGGTTGAAGCGACTTGATGGCGATGGCAACTTTTCATCGTAAACAGACTGCCAGGACGAGCGAGCGGCGCATGGCACACCCACGACAGAGGTGATCTTGTTTCGATCCATCATTTGCACGGGACGGAGACATCCCGTACAAAGTCTGGCAACGTGATGGTAGCCATCGGCGCAGCGCTTTTGGAACACTTTGCTCGTGGAGGCATTTGAATGCATCACTGAACGTTAGGAAAGCAATGTGATGTGCCAACTCGCTTGCGAGGGCAATGAGTCATAGCTAACACCATGACCACAGCTCCACGTAGTTGGAGACGACTGTCTCGGCCATGCCACTGTGACATCTGTCAAGTGGACGAGGCATGTCGTCGACGTGGAGAAGCAGCCGTGTGCCGCTCGCTCGTCCTGGCAGTCTGTTTACGATGAAAAGTTGCCATCGCCATCAAGTCGCTTCAACCTTATTGGATGTATCCACTGGTACACATA